CAATAGAATATCTTTGCAAAGTTTGATTTTTGCAATCTTTCTGGTAAAAAAAGTAGCCGCTTCGATACATACATCTTTGAAGTATCTTAAATCGTTGCGCAAGTGCAATTCGAAACTCAGTTTAGGTGATGATTTTCCATGCGAAAAATAAATATCGGACAAAGTTTTAGTTGATATTTTCCAGCTAGTTATGAGTTTTTGCTGTGCAGCGTTACAACAACGCTAAAAACGCATATTGTCGAGTGGCCGTCTGTGTGTGTGTTCGGGAAGCGAGTGCATTTTGTCACCCACTTTCATCACAGCAACCAGGAAAGCTGGGAGGCTGAAACTTTGGCTATATGTTCCTACACCGTGTGTCATCTTCCTGTTTTAAGATCTTTCCCCATGCGTGCCTAGACCCCGCGTACGGGACTCCCAAAGAAATATGTTGGCGCGAAACGATTTCGCGAATCAAGCAACGTCGAAGGCTGAAATTTTGCAGGGATATTCTCTATGCACGCGTGAGCTAGAGATTTTAAACTCAGCCGTCGAGAACCCCAACCACAGCCTCAGGCAGCTCCTCAACCCAAAAATCGTTAGCATCTCGGACCTGGACTGCAGTCGTATATGTAAATGAACATGGATTATTTGACATACGACCGTTCGAGCAATGCTTTCAATTTTCAATGAACTGGAAATTTGCGTTTTTTCAAAAAATAGTTCGCGACTCGGGCCTGAACCGCAATCGTATATATAAATGAACATGGATTTTTGGACAATCGACCGCTCGGGCAATACTTCCACTTTTTAATGAACTGGAAGTTTGCATTTTTTCAAAAAATTTTCGAGGGAAACTGCTTCGAATGGAAACAGCAAGCAAAGCAAACGGAAGAGATACGTAAATTTTTTACACGAATTTGTGTTTTGCAACACCATAAATTCCTTTGTAATAGCGGTGCAGCTGTCAAACAGCGGCATCAACATCAGTCATGTATTCAGCTCTATTAGTAAGCTGGATCCAGCTGGAGCGAGACGGAGCTTCAGGTGGGCTCGGCAGCCAATTTTTCCGGCAAATTTTTAGTGTTAACATTTGTTTCTACACCGGCCGGACGCCGTCCGCCAACATCAAACCTAACCTTCCACCATTTTTTTCTTATTGCTATTTGCTATCGCATAAATATACCTTTTGTTACCTCTAGTTGACAAAAACAATTGAGGTTAAGCATAATAACGACAGGAAACTCCAGAAAAGTCAAGGTCGGAAAGTAGAAACTTGTGTTTTCACCACATTTGTCATTCTTTCACAAAGCGAGCATTTACCGAAAAAACGACCGGACTTCATGCAAAAAATCGGTTATCATGCAGCTGGATACCTGTGCGGCTCTATAATGCACCACCTTCATCCCAACTGAAGCCCTTCCTCCTGCGTGCCGGAAAGGATCAAAGCACGCCAATATGACCCAAGTATTAGGCTACAGCGTAGGAATCATTCTTGCTAATCGCGATCTGCGAGTTTATTGCAAAAACGCATGATCGCACCGGAGAGCCTGGTGCGTTCCAGTCTGGGTTTTCGAACTGGCATGATGCAAACTGCTAACTTTGTTGTGACCACGTGAGCATTATAGACATGTGCGGTAGCTGAATTTAAAATGCTTAGCTCATTAAGGAACAAAGAATATCCCTGCAGAGTTTCAGCTTTCTATCTTGGCTGGATCACCCGCTAAAGAAATCTGCATTTTTTTGGGGGGCCTGTACACGCGGTATAGTTTCGTATGAGCGAAGGTTTTAAAACCGGGAAGTGACCCTAAAATTTAAGTCTTCCAGCTTTCCTGGTTGTTGAAATGTAATTAGCTGACGAAGTCCAGTCGCTTCTGAACACACACACACACAACACGGGCGACTTCTTAACAATATGCGCTTTTGC